AATAATTACAGGTGACATTTGATGTTGGACCTGACGATTTTGATTGATCTGATTTTGAGCTAGAACTCTGTGATGAATTAGACTGGTCTTTTGCTTTGTTTGATGTATTTGATGATGAGGACTGATTTGATTTTGTATCATATGAAGGTTTGTTACCTTGATAACCTCTAAAGTTAGGATTACCTTTGATAAAACTACCCTTATGAGTTAGAGCATAATCATCAGACAGGGTGGCAGCTTGACTTAAAGTTTCTACCTTGTGTTCATCTAAATAAGTTCTAATGTGATATTGAACACAGTTTTTGAATTGTTCTATTAGCATAAGCTCTCTGAGCTTTTTGAACTCTTCAGATACATCTTTAGACATGGGTTTGGTCACTCTGTTTGTGGGCATTTCTAAATTTTTGTCTGTAAGCTTCTGGCACTAGTTCATAAGCTTTAAGAATCGCATTTTTAATAAGGTCATAATCAGAGCATACTTCTGCTGAGAGAGAGGCAAATATTTCACTTGCTTTACCAATGAATACACTCTGAAGCATAACTGGCCATGCTGATTTAGGCCAATCGAGGCTTTGAGCGACTTTTTCAAAATGCGTAAAGTATTTATCAACATTTTTCTCCTGAAATTTAGGTACAAATTTGAGAAATTTTGAAGCGTCAAATCTATTTTCAAAATGTTGATGCATAGTAGCATGTTCATCAGTTTTAGATTGAGCTTCTATTTCCAAACGTTTTAATTCAATTTCTCTTTGAATTTCTTGTTCTCTCATTTGTCTTTCATTTTCTCTTTTTTCTCTTTCATTTTGCATTTCTAACTCTTTTTCTCTTAATTCTTTTTCATTTTGCAACTCTTTTTCTCTCCTTTCATTTTCAAGCTCTTTTTCTCTTATTTCAAGCTCTTTAAGCCTTATAGGATCTACAGGCTCAACATGCTGGACTGGCTCTACAATAAGCTTTAATGCTTCTTCTGGTAATATTTCTTCCGCTACCAAATATGGTACCAGAATATTTTTTATTGCACCTTTTCGGTATGAAGTTTTTACTGTCAAACCAACATGTTTTGCTAGTGCCAGAAGTTCAGTTTTCTTTAACTTGTCAAACTCCTCCAAAGAGGGCGCTTCTAAAAATGTCTCAACCTCAAAACTCATTTTTGATTAATTGCTGTCTTCACAATTTAGATATACAATTTTGGAATTTTGAATTTTATGAATTTTAGCTTGTTGTAGTTGTATCCCGGACGAGCCCCCCAATTTCTGTTACGTTCGAAAATAACAGAAAGTAAAAACAGCAATTAAAATATGATAACAATATATTTATATTTTGAAAACTAAATAATATAACAATAATATAAAGGAGGTTTAATACTTATGTGATGTCCAATCAATGATACGGCTTATTCTTGATGTCGATAAATGTCGTTGACGATACTTGAGAATGTTCCGGATCACGAAATGTTTCAATAATCGTTAATAGTTCTCCAATGTTTGTAATAATCCAATAATGTTTGTTGTAATCCTATAATGTTCGTATCCAATAATGTTTGATGATAATCCACAAATGTTTGATGATAATCCACAAATGTTTATGATAATCCACGAATATATATAATAATCCGTATATAATGTATGTTGTAATATATGTCCATATAAAGTCCTCAGGTGGTATATTTGTAGTGTTATAAATGTTCCCACAGTAATTATCTGCTAAGAAGATGTCCTTTTGAGAAACTCTGAAATTCTGCTTTATTTAGTTCCTTTGAGATGTCCAGTTATGATTACTTAATTATCTGCTGATGAGAGCCACTGTGCAGTTCCTTTTATAATGTGAAAGAATTATCCAGAAATGAATCTTCTGGAACTACATCTTGATTGGACATCTTTAGTGACATGATTCAATCTGATTAAATGTTTACTAGTTTCCGAATATTCTAGAAGGTCAAGAGTTAATGAGTCATTCAGTTCAGTTTTGTTTACAAGATATAGTGTCATTGTGACCTTGACCTAAGATCTCGAATAAAGAATAGCTCAACATATACAGCAAGCATAGATTTCAAATTAAACTATAGGTGAATATAGTAGAATATAATATACATGTAGCTCACTACTGTAACAATAGGAAGTTGTAAGAAATTGTTACAGACGCCAACCGCCCGACGCCAACCGCCGGACGCCAACCGCCGTCGCAAAAAAACGGAGACCATAACAATATGTCACCACTTTTGGTGGTGACATAAAAAAGTAGGTACAGGGTGAACAATATCGTACCTATTTAAAAATAATAAATAACAGGGCATTAACATGACAAAATGTAACCACCTAATTGGTCAATTTCAAGCAAGTTGAAAAAAGACCTTTTTGACCTTGAGAAGGTCATTGAAGGTCAAATTTATAATTAGATTTGAACTTTTAGATGATTTTGAAAAAAGATTGGTCAATTTGAAGCAAGATGAAAAGAGACCTATTTGGCCTTTCTATAACCTTGAGAAGGTCAAATCTTAAAGGTAAAGTCAGATTTGAACTTCTGAAAACGTGTAGATGATTTGGAAGTTTTAGGAATTTGTTACAGATGCCAACTGCCGCCCACCACCTGTCGCCCGCCGATCGCCAACGACCAACCATAACAATATGTCACCACTTCTTGGTGGTGACATAATTAAAAAAATGAGCACCTTAAAATAGACCCAAAATGCCTTGAAACCAATCAATTTTCGATTTTCACACCGAACAGAATCGCACCCTTGAACAGAATACACTTTTCGGGATGGAAAATCCAAAATGGCCACCTTAACATTTACCCAGAATGCCGAAAAACTAATGAGTTAAAAACTTTCATAGGTAGAAACATTCCTGAAAATTTCAAATTAATATCATCTGAAAAATTCAACACTCATTTTATTTTGACTTGTATAGGCTTAGGTTGCATCATTTTAACAATTACAGTAAACCTGTATTAGAAGATATCTCGGTGTTCTACTTTGAAGGTGGTCCAAATATAAGGTTCACCTCATTCTACTGAGGGATATATTACCTCAAGCAATATAAGATGTCTCAATAGATTGAAATATCAAATATACTAGGGTTTGAAAATGGAAGACTACGTGGGAAATATTCGCACTTGAAAACATTACGATGAAGCAGCATCTGCGTGGCACATACATGTAAATAGGCCCAAAATATCATAAAAACATAATGTTGGAAATATTTGCACTTATACAAGGTCATGTTGGTTGTACGAGGACATATTAAAGCCTAATACAATGTATAATCAAAATATATGACAGAACATTACAACATTCCAGATATAACAGATGAAATAATAAAAAGTTTCAAATTACATCCGGTATTATTCACTATCAAATGTTATTAGAAAAAATAATCAAATACCAAAATATGATTGTTTCAACATGTTTTTGAATTTATTCATTGTTCAAGGAATTAAAAATGATAGACCATTTAATAAGTGGAGTTCGATCAGCATAAGTTGGACAGAATGTCAGTAAAAAAGCACAAACATAAAAAGGTGAGTGCATTTGTACTGATATTAAGTCTTGCTTCAAGATTGTGCACCCCCTATCTACTTTAACATCAGACCCCCCTTATCTACTTAACATAAGTTGGGAAGGGAAGGGGAGGGGGGTCCAGAGACTATCTGACATTCTATCTAACGACATCTTGTCTATGTGCACATTCAAGCCATTTGAGAATTTCTGGCCAATCAGAATTCATAAAGGCAGACGTTCATCCCTAAAGCTAAAACACAATCCTAGAAGTGTTGAAAATGCAATTCCAGAGACTTAAATAATGAATGCCATTGTTAGGCTATTTTTTCAATGCAGGCACCATTAAAGATTGCAGGAAAATTGATTAAAACTCAGTCTGTGCAAATACATTTACTTGTACCTTGCAATTAAGGCAGGATTCTGTCTATGATGGTGATTTTGGTGAAATACGAACATTGATGGATATCAGAACGCAAGTGACAATAGTAAAGATTATAGAGTTGCATGAATATCTTGCACACATCAAGGCACATTTTTCACATATGTTTGCGTGTCTATGGAAGTTACAGGTGTGCCTCATTTAATACAAGCTTTGCTTTGTAATATGTACAGACATGATATGATTTTATAATACAATACGATATATCCTTTTTGCCTATAGGTTATTTACAGATCAAAGAAATTCTGAAAGGAATATTTGAAAGGTTTTTATATCTGGATATCCAAACTAAGGTAAATTATATCTACCCCAAGGGCAGATATGACAAAAGCATTATTTTTTCATCTCAAGCAGAATGGAAATACCATCTACTGATACCCAACACTTACCATTTTTTAAAATTCATGGAGGGGAGGACGATGATATCATAGTACATGTATACTGTAAAAGCTCACAAAATATACAACATACAGTATGGACAGATCTTTATCGTCCCATTCATCAGAAGAAAACAAATCAAACTTAAATCCTTATGTGAAATAAACAACATGTCTCCAATCCAATGCACTCTACGTACTATATGTATAACTTGTATCTTCTTCACAACCATAATATAATATTATTTGCCATATATTCTGTTATGACAGGGACAAAATAGTAGATGATTTAATGCACCCGTGTTAATATCCCAGACTTTGAATTTGGGCTACCATCATCATTCAAAGTCCTATGGCATCTTTGATTAAAGTCATCAACAATTTATTAAGTTCTGGGCTAAAATCATTTAATCATTTTGAAACTCTGCAGACTGAAATATGTTTTATCAAGTTCTAATATCCACTAATTCAAAGAAAAATTCTATGAATAACTTAACAGATAGCTGCTGGCAGAAGCTCTTTGGCTCACACAGAGAGCCTATGGGATTGACCAGGCGTCCGTCCGTCCGTTGGTCCGTCCCTCATTTAATTGTGTCAGACCACAAGAGCACGTGAACATGCATTGATCACAAGATGACTGGTTGTACATAGAGATCAAAGAACATACAATATAAGATATACTTACAGCCACATTTGAGGCCTTGGTGGATGATGCCATATAGCAAGGAGCCACAGTGATCACAGAACGTGGGACTTGTATAGGAATGAACTTTAAACCTGTGAGTCGCAGTTGACTGAAAATAAATGAAATTGTATAATTAAAATTCAATTTGGATCTTTCAATCTACAACGCTTATTCCTTTAAAATACTGGGTTCTGATTGGTGAATCAGAAGTAAATAGTTTCCCCAGAATAGTATGTTGTCAAACCAAGCATAGCTTATGATTATCTAGCTGCATGGTTTCCTTCAAGTCAATGTCTACCATTGATATCAGTCAACAGAGAAGTTTAAGATGGGGTATACAATTTACACAGTTGACTGATGAGATCACCAATTCACAAGGCATTAACATGCAAAATGTCACCATCTCCCATTTGATACAGACACCATAATTTGTTAGAGATGCCACTTTACGGACACAAAACATTGTCCACAATAGAAGTAATATTCTGGTATCATCTACTATGAAACTTTCTCAGGTAAAATACATTCTGGAAATCAATGAGCATACTATTTCAGACTTCAAAGGTAAAATGATATTAGCTTAAAACAATGTTGCTATGGAGATGCATAATCATGTCTTCGTTGCTGTGGAAACTGTATCTTGGGCAATCAGATACTGACTTAGATCCAACCAGTAATTGAACATACAATATCCCTATTTCCAGGTTGATTTATTGTCAATGAATGCTTTATAGCAACTTGGATAATTATAACTGCAATGTAAAAAGTGACACACCAGCACAATTACCTCATAAATATTTGATTAAGTTGACCTTGACCTACATGCTATTACCATATTATATGGATTATTCATTCATTAATGCAAATTTTGCACATTACTCTGTTACTCATTACATCCCCTTTCTTACAATAGGTATGCCCTTGTAAGAGAGGGGATTTGTAAGGGGATGCCTTAGTAAAAGAAGGAATGCCTTCATTAGTAAGAACTGTACATAACTTTGTAATTTATTTAGGAATTACGATGAGAATCAGAGAGGAAGTACCTGTATTCAACCATAAAAGAATCTATAAGAATATAGTTTTTTTTAGCATATTATTTATTTCCTTCATAATCTAAAAATACACAAAATATCTACTACCAATCGCCATAGGCATTCTAGGTAGTTTAAATTACAATAGAGGATTAATAAGAATATAGTAAAACATGTATCTGAACACCTACCTATTAGTAATCTGAACATCTTTCTATGTGAATGTCTTTTTGTTAATCTGGCATGGACTTCTACCTTTAAAAAACTTGAAATGTGAACACCTGCCAAACCGAACACATTAAACCAGCCCCAGAAGTTTTCAAATGAGAAAGGTTTCGCTGTCTTATATGCATTCAACATACATATATATTACATACTCAATCAAGTTATGAATATAACTCATTAAATTACAAAAATTCTATAAAGAACTTAATAAAAGGCTTGGAAGCTTACATAAAACCTATAACTAACTCAAATATAAATATACAGTATTAGATTGCATGTCTTGAATAAATGATGTATTAAGGAATGTCAGTCAGCATCCACTTGACTAATTGATCAGAATAAACTTGGTATAATGGTCAATATAAGCAGTTTGTCTTTTATCTAGCTTCCTCTGATTATTGATTAACAATTTAAGATTCCCTGGAAGGTAAGAAAATGAAGTTACGCTATATGTGAACATATTTTATTGTATACAGCTTTGAACTGTATGTCAACAATGGAAGCTCTGTATGCATATAGATATAGGAGGTGATTTATTATTTTTAATTTATATTAAGTTAATGGTTAGGTCCTTTCATATATATGGGGGATTGGATTGTGGGATGCACCCTTTGTGGCAATATGACCAGATTTTGAAAGTAGAGTCCCTCTCTATTTCAATGCGACAGAGCGTTGTACTATAGACGAAGCTCTCTTTTAAGAAGCAAAGTTAAACAAGTGGAAATGGTGCATGTTCATTAAGCATGGTAAACATTTCAAACAATCTTTATTGGTTCACTGGTCAACCTTGACAGAAACCTAGAAGAGCTTATATTCGCAAATGCAACTAACGCCTGTCGGCTGCCAGATTAACCTGCTATTCTATGGGCAACTCGTTTAAATATGAATAGTACCTGCCACAATTTCATTCATATTTAAATGAGTTGGTCATGAAAAAGTAGGTTAATTAGGTAACAGACAGGCCTTTAATTGCATTCGCGAATACAAGCTTTAAGAGCACCAAGATTACCTGGTTCCAAGGAATAATAACCTCTATATATTTATTTTGCTTTCAGAGGATATAAGATATTAAATTGCGATAAATCACTGAGCTTATCAATGTTTTTCTAATGATACAATGGCTACTTTATCTTGCAGAATAAAATAGATGTGATTTTGATTAAATGGAATACAGATTTCTACTTTTAAGACATCCTAAACAATTAATTATAACGTCGAAATATTTATCCACAGTATACGTCTAACGTTCAGGGTTATTATTCAATCCAAAACTTAGATTTCTTGAAATTGCCATTACTCAGATCTCAGACAGCGTGTTTGGAGAATGATTTTGATGAATGTGTGGGATTGGTCTGATTGGTATGCTATGGTGAATGGATGTCACGGCTTTGGGATTAAACAGGAGTCTCGAACCTAATTTAGATATATAGACGGCAAGAACCTATAAGCTTCTCATTTGTGAAATCTTCCAATTTGCATATTTAGGATTCGGCTTTTCTCGCCCCAATATACTTGTATAAAACTATTACTTTTAAACAATAAGGGAGGGGGGCGGGGGTGAGACATTCTGGATACAGTCGATTCAAGTTTTCTTCTCAATAATGTGTTTGGTCAAGTAAGTTAATTTTTTAAATACGTATTTTTTATCTCGTCAGTTTTTTCCAACAGGGGGGCAGAATCATCCAATTGCTCTAATGCCTATTCCCTTTGAAAGTAACCATGAATTCTATTTTTTCTCTATTTGAACTAATTTTTCGAATTCAGTACATATAATATTAATAGATATTGTTATGATATAGCATTCTGACATCTCATCTTTCCATTTCACTAGCAGCATGCTCTGATGTTATGACACTTCTTTTATGATCTAAGCTTATCTTGTTGCAAGTTATAAACTGTGATGGTTATCATATATTTATTGCCTTTATTCCTATATACTACATCATAAGCATTAATCTATTGTTACCGCTTGTTACTGTTATGACATTAATGTAATGCGTACAGGTGATATCATCCCAAAATAGATGACATACACACACCGGAAAAGCCTGACAATGGTAAAGTCAGATACCGTTGTCATAAATGGCGGACATAACCGTCGCTTACTGTTTTAATCACTTAGTCCTCATTTCATGGGATTTTATCGTCCCTAATTCTGTCCATGTATTAAGCTCTTGTGATGATGTTTCATATGAAATCCTAATTTCAATCAAATTGGGTCATGAATCGCCACAATATAGCGTCTTCGATATCGTCAATGACAACGGAATCTGAATTTGAGTAATTTAGAAAGACAATGGCACATGGTAATTACAGTGTCCGTTGTCCCGTATCTAATTTTGATCAGTTAAACTTAAGACTTTATTTCGATGGTAGAACATTATTAACTGTACAATGAGTATTAAGATACTTTGATTGATTGTTGTTCCAAAGGAATTTAGTCTAGGTGCTCTATTAAACATACAGTTCATGAAAATCTAATTGAAGCAACGGTTATGTCTGTCATTTATGACAAAGGTATCTGACTTAACCGTTGTCAGGCTATTCCGGTGTGATACAAGCTGCAATCTCAGGAGGCCTGAAATTAAGGATCTCGGCTGGATCCCAATCCGAATACAAAATGGCATGGCATCTCAATACGAAGTCAAGACATTAACATGGAAAATGTCACCACCTACCATTTTATATAGACACCGAATGTCAACCACCGAACACCAACTGCCAATCACCATCCACAATAACATAAAAGAAGATAACATGGACAAAAGTGATAGTGAGGTGATGGTGATGGTGAGGTGAATATTTAGATCAGAATCTGTAAATGTGATTTCTGCACTTAGTTGATAAAACCCTTGGGAAGAGCAAAACAGATACAAAATCCCTAAAGTATCTCAAATTAATCAATAATCTTACTGGTTAGAACATCTAAGATTTTGTCGAGGAGTAATTGCTCGTCAGCACTCATTGTTTTGTTTGCATGACTACAGACTCAAAAGTGATCACGTAATGATGAAAAATATGTGACAATTAATGCATCATTTAAAGTCCCTGTGTAAAGTTTGAAAATATTTTTTATATGGGGACTTAAACAAACACAGCTTTGCCATATATTGCGAGAATACATTCCTTTGGTCAGTAATTTTCCAACCATGCAATACAATCAGCCCTTTCAATAAAGATTGTGAAATTAACATCCATTCTTATTCACCAGTCCTTCTTTATGTGACATTTGTTAGAAAATTAAGGTTGTGGAGCCCGCAATGGGGTTTTGCTAAAGCATCAGGAATGCCGAATCAATGATAATATTATCTGAATTATTCTTGATCAGAGCAGTATTAGTAGTGTGTTCAGCAAGCATGATAAGCAATCGCAACCACTTCTGCTGTATAATGAGGATACTCAATCATTCTAGCCATATGACTTCAACAACACTTCTAGTACACACCCTGTCATTGAATATCAAGAGATGCCAATATGAGAAATGCTAGATTGTAGTATGCTTTGAAATGAATGTAAAATGAGGGAGATGGAGTGCAATCAACAAGATACGATCGTGCATACAGGCAAGAAAATGAAATGCACATGTATGTTCAGAAAATCATATGAAATACTTTCAGGCTTGGAGCCAAGGGGAGGGGTTAAATGGTTTGAGCAAAGCCCCCTGGCCTAATGCTCTTTCAAAATTATACAGTTTTCACCATACTTTTGAAGTGATTTTGAGCCAAAATGGTCAAATACTGTGAACCCCTGGGAATTTTTAAAACTTGAATCCCCTTTGGCAAAAGCTCACTATATGGGCCTGACTTCATTTGAAACTTAAAGATGACTAGAACAGTGTAATATGCAGACCTTC